CAGGCATATGCCGCTGCTGTATATGTCGTATCCGAAAGCATGGGTGAGAGGTGCTCCAATCTCGTCCTGGCACGTGCAGAGTGGCACGAAAGCAAAGAAGAAGACGATCGCCAGAACTGGAGCTCATGGGGGCGCTCTTGGGACTGCGTCTAGTCAAGAAAGTGTGCAGCGCTCTTGGGAAGGAGCTATGTGAGGTCCATTTCTGGTCAGACTCAATGGATGTCCTCTGCTGGTCAGAAACGAAGTTTCTAGGTTTCAAGCATTTGTGGCCCACGAGTGTCAGAAATCCGTGAGTGTACGGTGCCGGAGCAATGGCAGCACGTACCAGGCAAGGAAAACCCGCCGACGCGCCGACAAGAGGACGAGTCTCGAGGCGCTTCGAGGTCACAGGCTGTGGTGGCATGGGCCGGAGTTCCTGGTGGATGAAGACCGTACATGGCCGACAAAAAGACACTTCAGTGATGAAGATTTTGACAGAACCGAACTGGTCAGACGAGAGCAACAAAGAAACACGTTCGCCATAAGAGCTCCAGCCTCAAGCGCGGAGTTACGACTCCTCCCGGAAAAGTTCTCTAGCTGGACTAGGTTCATTCGAATCACAGCCTGGGTGATGCGATTCATCAAAGCACTGAAAGAAAAACTGAGAAAACGCCCAGCCAGATGTACTGAACCAGAGGGGCTAGGTCCAACTGAAGTCGATGAAGCGGAACAGTTCTGGATTAAAACGAGCTCAGGAAGAGTCATTTTCTGAAGAATGACAGCTGAAGACAAGTGAAGGATCCGGTGTCAAAAGATGTCGTCAAAGCTCAGTGAAGAAGCTGTGTCCATTCATGGACGAGGACGGCATACTCAAGTTGGAGGCAGGCTACAGCGCTCCGACTTGACTACAGCGCCAAGCATCCTGTTCTGCTTCCAAAGGGACACCCAATCAGCAGACGATAATTTGTCAGCTGCACGAGGACACTGAACATGGCTTAGGTGTAGAGCACACCTTGGCCAGCTTACGAACGCGCTTCTGGGTGCCTGCTGCGCGGGAGATGATCAAGAAATGATTCACCAGTGCGTAAAGTGTCAGAAGCTCCGAAAGTCAGCCGAGACACAAGTGATGGCGCCCAAGCAAGCAACCAAGTGAGAACGCGCTTCCGCGCCTTTGACAAGACGGCAGTTGACTTTGCAGGACCATCCTGACAAAACAGGTCGTGGAAAGGTCAGGCAAAACGGTACCTGTGTATCTTCACCTCCTCCAGGTCAGAGCCGTTCATCTGGAGATGACGTACGGCTAGATACATCCAGTTTCATTCGGGCTCTGATGAGATTCATTTCCAGAAAAGGCGAGCCCCTCAGAGATCATATCTGACAATGGAAGAAACTTCACACGGGCTTCAAAGGAACTGCAGCAGTCCTTTCACCGGATTGGACAACAGTCAGATCCACGTGAACTCTGAAGTCACGCACGAAGTGACGTTCATTCCTCCTGGTGCTCCACACTTCAATGGAGCGTGTGAAGCAATGGTAAAGATCGCGAAGAAGCGTTGATGAGACTCTCGAAGCATGCTGACCTCTCTGATGAAGAGCTGCAGACAGCGTTCTGTAAGTAGAGGCGCTGATGAACACAAGGCCACTGACGGTGTTATCCAACGACCCAACTGATGACCAGCCGCTCACGCCAGCCAACTTCCTCGTGGGTCACACAGCAATCGAGATGACAGTATCATCAGATCCATGAGGCGGGGGTAAGGCAGCGCTGGAAACGTATACAACGCTGTCAGCAGTACTGGAGGCGATGGCTCAGAGAATATCTATACCGTCGCTACAGCGGAGACAGAAGTGGCTTGATCCGAAACCCGACATAGCACCTGGTGACGTTGTGGTGGTCGACCCGTCTTCTCCACGAGGAAAGTGGCCGATGGGACGCATAGACCAAGTGATGAGAGGTGACGATGGTCACGTCAAGTGGCGTCTGTGAGGATGCGAGACAAGATCGTCACAAGACCAGTCACAAAGATGGTCCGACTGGATGTCAGCGGCCTGCTGGTGTAGTTGTTGGATTGGGAACAATCCACAAGTGAGGGAAGATTTTTTGGAGGATTTTAGCAATGAGGCTCGAGCGTGAGCTGCTCGAGAAATGAAAAAGATTTTTACTAGAAATACAGGAGTCACACATGAAGTGTTAAGAGTGTTTAACCGTTATTAAGTACTTAGCAATTTAAGCGGTTTATTTATTAAGTATCACATTTATTAAGATTTAAGATTACAAAACACAACGCGAGGATAGCAAAACTATAATTACAGGCCTAATCAGAACCAGTTGCCCACAGTAACAGCAATGCAGTCGCCTTCTGCTGAATCCAGACATCAAAGGTTAATGACCTTGACCTGACCTTCACGTGAACTTGACACCTACCATAACCCGCGCCCGCTGGGCTGATCAGCGCATACGCGCCCTGCTGGGGGGGGGGGGGGGGCAGACTCTGCCCCCCCCCCTGTCTAACTTCCAAACCGATGGTCGTAGAAAGACGGGAAAACTGCAATCGAAAGCTCTCAACAAGGCGGTCTTAAGAGCCCAATTTTTTTTGCTTAAGTAGGTCGAGGTCAGGTCAGGTCAGGTCAAGGGTACAAATGTAAGTTTCTTCATTATCGGCCTTGCCCGTAGTTGCCGAAGAATGGACTGAGACTGATTGCCCAAAACGTGTTCTTAGACTACCAAAACAATATTTGTTGCATACAATGTCATTCAAAGGTCAAGGTCAAGGTCAGGTCAGTCACCAAAACAAATATAGAAAAGGCATGTGCGACCAGGCTGCGGAGTCGATGGATTTTCGGCGACTCCGACTCCGACTCCGACTCCGGCTTTCAAAAACCACTCCGACTCCGACTCTTCCGATCCGGGCAGAATTGTCGACTCCGACCGACTCCAACTCCCGACTCCGACTCCGCAGACCTAGCAGGGCTGCGGAGTCGACAGATTTTTGGTGACTCCGACTCCGACTCCGGCTCGGGTTTCTAAAATCGACTCCGACTCCGACTCCGACTCCGGTCACAACTGTCGACTCCGACCGACTCCGACTCCGACTCCGACTCCGACTCCGACTCCGCAGCCCTGTGTGCGACACATTTTATAAGTCATGTTACTCATAGAATTCAATAGGCACACTCAATAAGTGATATGGACCACCTCTGGATGAATTTCAGGTCGAGGTCAGGTCAAGGTCAGGTCAAGTGAGGTCAAATTTGAAGTTGGTTGTTAAGGCCTAAAAAGGTGTCTATCTAATGCAGTTTCTCACGGCGAATCGAATGGTGCTATTTTGTTTCGGTACAAGGTCTAGAACTTCCAAAAAAATCATTTTTCAAAATTTTTGTGTGTCGTGACGTCATAATTTTTTTAATAACTCCCACATTTTTGAACCGATTCTTCTAAAAATTGGTATTTATGTGCACACTGCACATAGACCACTTCTCTGACATTTATTCCGTTTTTTATACACTCAAAATTTTGGATTTTATAATTATTTTCCCAAAAAAGTCAGTTTTTTGGAAAAAAAATTGGGCCAAAATCCAAAATTTTCAAAAAACGAGATAGCCATTTGATAGAGAAATTAGAATCACGTATTAACTTTTTTGTTACGTCTTGATTCCTTTAAAAATGAAGATGTTATCGGCGTTTGAAATTTTGCCGTTTTTGAGGCGAAAATGGCGAACATGAAGTCACTAGTCTAAAACGTCAATTTCTCAAAAATGTTCCGACGGATTTCGCTCAAATTTTCAGGGAACGTGTCAAATTGATGTATGATAAGGTATACTGTAAGTTTGACGTCGCTGGCGTAACGCGTTTAGAAGTTATAGGCGAAAAACGGGAGGGGGGCAGATTCTGCCCCCCCCCCCCCCCCCAGCGGGGCGCGGGATAATGCATGGGACCAACATCATGTCACATGTTTGAACATTTAAAACCACAATAAAACTGGAATCGCTCGGATAATGTGGGCCAACATACGCTGAATCGCGATTTCGGCCAGACATGATCTCGAGGAACAGGTCATAGGTCATTTGGGTCAGGGCCATGCAATTTTTGGGGTAGGTGTTAAATTAATCAGCTCGAGGGTAGGTACGGAAATTTTCGTCGTGGTTGGCCACTTTTTGCGCGAGTTATTCGCGAAAACTGAAGGGGTCCGTTCGACCCCCCCCCCCTTAAATGTGCGGGGGTTAAGCTTAAGTGTTTGCAAAATATGAGACTTGTAAAGAACATTGGTCTGCTTTTGATTCGTCGTATCTTTTACTTTCTAATCACGCGATAGGTAATTGAATAGGTAGATTAAAAGTTCTAAACGACTTCAGTTTTTATATCATATATAAACATGTTAAAGTTTCAAAATGCTCGGATAGTCAGCCTACCGAGGTCGGTCCAACTATGTATTATATTCTTGCTAATTCTTTAGAGAGGAAGAAAAGAGAGTTGGTACACCTGTCTTCACTCGAACGACTTGTTGTACCTATTGATAAAAGGTTCCGTGTTGTATTACGATGCAATTTGCATCGTCTAATGTTTAACGATAAACCACACACAGGCAACGCCCATTTGAGGTGGTCCTCACTCCTCATTCACCTCACTCACACAGATTACTTACCTTAGTACACAATACACATTCCCTGAGTTCGCGCGCGGCATCTGGAAAATGAGAGAAAATTATCCGGGATCACCATTAAGGGATGGTGCAGGGATCACGGACGGGATCACGTTGCAGAGACCATCGATGCAATTGGTCGCATTTTTAGATTGCCTTTGCTTCACTAATGGCTCTTTTGCTGGTTGTCATGTGCGTTGTGCACGGTGTCAGCCTAAAACACCGAATGCTCCCGGTGATCCCGGAAAATTATCCCTCATTTTCCAGATGCCGAATAGACGTATTGTCTTCTCATTTTGCGTGAAACACACCAACAGCACATTGCCACCTCTTATACCTGTCACGTCATCTATCCTCCCTCGTGGCCTTTCATGGGTGCAGGCTTCGGCACCAGAGGGCAGCGGAACACCGGCTGTCAATGGAGCACCATCGGGCAGCGGAGCACCATCGGGCAACGGAGCACCGGCCGCCGGTGACGCGCCGGCCGTCCCCAAACCTGGCTGCTGCGGTGACCACGGGCCAACCGCATGCATCGGGGGTGAGTGTATCATGCAGCATGTATACCGTGATCCCCGGGTTACCCTTTTCACTTTCACTTCGGGATGCTGGGACCAGAAGAAGGGAACGTTTATACTTGATAGACATCTAAACGCTATAATCTAAGATTCAGACGCGCCGTTCTGATAATGGCTTACTGTTTCGTCGAATCAAGTCAGGACAATCGAGATTCCAGACGGTACGTGCTCCTATGTATGTGTCGTGTGCAGATATTTTTTACATCCCCGCTAGCGCAAGGTCACTAATAGTTGGGGAAGAACTAGGGAACGTAGAGCTGTGAACATTGGACCATATAATGCATCGTGCGGTTGCCCCGTGTGCACTCGCATTGCGCAGGACTATGGACCTCCCGTGAAATGACTGACATGGAGGACCGTGAAATTGTTGTTCGCACCAACCTGCGCGAGCTGATCGTCTACCTAGTGTTCCTGGCGGTCGTCAGCATCCGTGAGTGCCGTCACCATCCGTGAGTGCCGTCACCATCCGTGACTGAGTGTCCCGGAGATTCTTGAGTGATCCGAGCACTCGTGAGAGTCCTGAACGTGAACAGTGACCATCTATTTTAGGAATAACAAATGGTATAGTAGTTTCTAACCCGCGCATGGCTGAAGGACTCCCTTGAGCTTCCCTTGCCGTTTTTCTGCGATATCTTCAAAACCATTAAAGGGGTAGGTACCTATCAAAACGAAACTTTCAGTACCCTCGGCTATGCTTATCAATTTGACACCCTGTGCCATAGGTTGCCTAAGGAAAATTTCGTAGCCTATCATAGGTCAGATGATTATGACGTCATTATTGGCCGATTTTGATGCTAAACATGGGATCACGACAATCGCACCCAAGAGGCAAAGCCTTCAGGTAAAAGTTAGAACTGATTTATTTGCATTAGATGAAATAGAACAAACTGGGCCAAACCGCTACCTCAGATTTTCCACTTTTTTATTTGGGAAATTATGGGTAGGTACTCGCAAATGAAATCTCAAATAAAGTTTAACGTATACCTTAGTTTATGGATGCTGGTGCTAGTGCTACGCACGAATGCTGTCTACATCCAAAAGATTCGAGGGAATAAGACACATGTGTCTTACATCGTGTGTCTTAGACACACGAGAAGCTGCAGCTTCTCGTTTCACGCCAGCAATACACGTACGTCGGCCAGGCTGCTGCCAGGCTCCGGCTGTTGAATTTCATACATTCTGTTTTTTTTTCGAAAAACAAAAAATAAATTTAGGTTAAAATTGCAAAAAAATGAGTTTTGACGCATACCTACTTTTCAAGAACTTAAAATCTCAAAAATCCGAGTTGGCAGGTACCTACATGGAATTGTTTTTTGTTGTGTGTGTTTTTTTTTTACAATTATCTCATGCAAAGCAAGCAAAACAAACTTAAAAATGGAACTTTTGAGAGCGATTTACGTAGAACCATGCTTTTCATCAAATTGACCGAAGATAACGTCACTCTGATGTCATTGCCGGCCGGCCTGTTGAGAACGCCACGTTATCTCTTTGTCAGTCTGTAAAATTGTTGCCGTACTTCTTATGCAACGTTTGGCGGCTCTGCTAGCTTGCGGTCAGGATATATGAAGGAGAGAGGACCGGGGGACCGTTTCGCCCCCCCCCCCCCAAACGGGGCGCGGGTAAACCCTCGCCCGTATACATATGGTGTTCCACCAGCCGTAAACGTAATGGGGGAGGTCCGTTGGACCCCCTGATTGAGCTAGAGCTTCACAGTCGCCCGTGACAGAAGGAGGCCGATGGATACCCAGGTTAATGGTTCCAGGTCATTGGTTGACCGTCCAGGTCAGGCCAACCAGTAGGCGTTATTCAGGCTATCCATAGTACCGATGTGTCAACCATTACTGATAGCTTTGTAACATGTTATTGTTACACCAAAACTACTATGTATATGTTTAAACGGGCGCGAATCAGCTCCAAAAACTATACAAGAAACAAGTTAAACATGAAAAAGTGAACCAAGGTCATCAAAGGTCAATGACATTGACCTGACTTTCACGTGACACCTACCATATTCATGGGTGGAGAATGTTTGAAAAAGTTGCCCCGGCCGGCGACCGATAGTCGCGGGAAGACGATATACTCACGTTGTTCTCAACGGTCATCATCAAACCCCTATTCTGACGCATGGAATAGGATTCTGTGTTTGCTCAAGGATGAGCGTTGTATCCGACACCGTATTATTCATAACATTTTTGGAATGATCGAAAAGGCAATTTCCTTTTAAATTATTATTTTTTTTACTTAAAGGTAGTGTGCCAGCTTTCTTGGACCGTATGGAGTTAATGGCCCAGATAAGGAGAACCGGATTTTTAGAACTTATCCTTACCTTCAAAACTCATGGAAACGTCTTAAATTCTTCAAATTTTGAGTACCCCAGTGCGAAATTCGCCCCGACGGGTTGTCGGTCGTACCCCAACCACATTTCACACCACTATGAACAATAAATGCACACACTGAAATCGCTATTACCGATATGCTCATCCAATCAAGTTTCGATAAACCCGTTCATCATCATCTCCTGCGGTTTCGAACACGCCTGTTAGGTGGCTTCTGATGCTCGTCGAGGTCGGAATTTCCAAATACGCGTGGTGCGTCGGGCCGCGCGCTCTGACTTCGGCCAAGAAAAATGCGTCAGCTGATCATTGTCATTTCTGCCACTTGCGTGTGGTGAAATGGGGTCATAACTTATAAGACGGCTTTTTCATATCAATTATTTTACATAAAATCATATTTCAAACCATAAATAATGTTCGACAGCCAAATAAAAGAAACAATACCAATACGGGCTTACAGTTTAAGGCTCGACATTGTGTTGTCTACGATTAGACAGCTGATAACTCATTCCCGTACGTCGTATGGTCGTAACACTATAATGACCTTTGCTTATTGTCACAAGTGCGCCGCATTCGCGATTGTTGCCCGACGCCTGTTTGCAGGTGAGCCCACTACAGTTGTTATACATATCTAAAAACCGAAAAACTTTTAGGCGAAAAAGGCACTATTCCAGGCCCATTTTTGATTTTTTTGCGATATTAGGTAAAAACAGAAGCTTCTTATCCTAGGAAAAATAAAATGGGAAATCTTTCAAAGGTGGCACACTACCTTTAAACTTCCAATTTCACACCGAACCCAAACCAAACCATATGCCATTTTGAGTACCTAAATGTTGCGTTTTCAGCTTTTTATTGTGTCTCAAAATAGCTACAAAAAGACAACTCACCATAGTAGAAGCTTTACAGAGAAATTGACAGATCGAACCAAGCAAAGCACTAAAATAACTAGGTCACTGACATCCACGGGCGTAGCCTTTTTCAATGTTGGGCGGCTCTTATAATACAAACAGGGAGTCGATCCAGGAATATCGACCGGTCCCGGTCTCGTAGCTCAGTTGCTAGAGCGTTGGATTCCGCGTGGCGAGAGCACGCGGCCCGGTTACAACAGTCCGAGTTCGAAGCATGATGGCCGCTCGGTGTTTATGAGCACCCTGACGGGTACGCTCATAAACGGGTGTGGTTGCGGTTGGTGACAGGTCAGTTGAAGGCAATGAGGTCAAGCAGTAGTTTTGAAAAAGTGCGCCGAAGGCGCGCCAAAATTTCGAAACTGAACAGGATTTGAGAGCAATCTTGGCATTGGCGACCACACGCGGGTCTTAGGGTTGGAGATTATGGCAAGTTAAGTAAATGGTAAATACCTACCTGATTTGCAATATTACGCCCATGGAAGTCAACATTCGAAGAGCGTGAGTTTTCTTTTCTCGTATGGAGACAGCTTTTAGGATTTACAAGAGTAGAAAAGTTACCCCGGCCGCGCCGGGGTAGGTTGAGAGTTACCCCGGCCACGGCCGGGGTGGCCGGGGCAGGTTCTCCACCCATGAGTCCATATTGCATGGGACAAACATAATTTTAAGTGTTAACCCGCGTCCCGTAGGGTTATCGGCGGACCCTACCAACCGATGAGGGCCGAAACGCTCTCAGAAAGTTACCGGCCGATTATCAAAATTCAGACGGTGTTGGATAGTCTTAACGAAGAACTAGCTTGTGACCTAATTTTATTGAACTCGGCCATACCGATGACGTCACAGATCAGGTCAAAGGTCGAATTTTCACCGTTTACAGGCATTTCAAGAAATGTGTTGTAAAATCGAGTAAAAGGGAATACCATTGAAAATCATCGTTGGGGAATTGTCCGTCAAACACATATTTTGCTATTTGAGATCACTGAAACGAGGTCAGGTCACTAAGGGTCACAAACACAATATGAAAGTGTCATGTGATACATGTTTTAGGGTCCATTTTACATGACAAACACGATTATGTGTGTTAGGCGACCTTTGGGTTCAGGTCAAGGTCAGGTCAAAATAGGTCAAATTTCAAAGTTGATACTTTGCATAAAATGGGTATCGATTCGATGCAGTTCGTCACGGGGAGTTTAGGTAATGGGTGCTCTTTGTTTTGCGCTACGTGCTCTAGAATTGCTAAAAATTGAATTTGAAAGTTTGAAGTCATCAATTTTGAAGTTTTTTCACTATAACTTGGAAAAAAAGATGTATCGATATCAAATTTGGTATGTAGATAGAACGCGGTATGAGCTATCATAATTATTCCGTCATTTTCGAACTTCAAAAATATAATTTATTGGCTAAAATATAAAAAAGTTTTTTATGTTAGGGGGTCAAAATCCCAATATTTTAAAAATCCGAGATGAATGTTTTGTAGCCCTGCTCATTCTATACTTTTTATGTCTTGAACATTTTTCTGCATCTTCAATGCTGTAGGGCTGACAGCTCTTTCCGCGAAACCTTTTTTGGCGGTCGAAAATTGCAGATCATGACGTCATTCTGACGTCATTTGAGGCCAACCTATCATAGCCTCTGTAAAAATGTTTAGTCACAATGCGGAAAATTGATGTCCGGAGGGGTCCTGAAAGTTTAGTGACGATATATGCAGCCGTTTGGGTGATATCGACGGAAAAGGAGAGGGAGGGGTCGTTTCGCCCCCCTCCCCACGGGGCGCGGGTTAATGAAAATAGACAGGCTGACAGTATAAATGCAGCAAAGACGTTGCGTTAATCGTTATTCTAAATCGTCATTTATCGTAAATCGTTAATCGTTAATCGTTAAATCGTTATGAGCTTAAAATTAGACACATTAAAGGGACACTCCCACCTTAACATTAGTTTTGAGTTGAGATAGCCAAATTGGTGGCCATGGCCTGCAAATACCGGTTTGGGCACTCACAACATCGAAAAATGCTTTAATTCGAAGATATGGAATTTCAAACTTGCAGTTTTCGGATTCTAAGGGGCTAATGCATTGGAATGCCCCCTTAGAATTTGTGACGTCAGCGGAGATCTAACGATTTTTAAATCTTAGACTAAAACCATCGTTAACACGTGGCGGTATACGCTGCTTTGCGCGCAACGTCTGCCGCACTTTAAGGCTGCCAAATTATTGCTTCCAAATAAAGTCGCTAGTAACAGGGGAGATCCCAAAAAGTAAACAAAAGTAAAAGCCTAATATCTTGAAAACCAGTGAATATTTTTCGGTGAAATTTGGTAGATATTCGTTTTCGCTCTTTCTGAACCAAGGGACATCACTTTCATGCCAATTCATTAACTTTTTTGAAGGTGGGAGGGTCCCTTTAAGTCCGACGTTTCGCTGTGTTCGCTTAATCAAAGGTGACAAACATTCAAGGGCGAATGTTTGTCGCCCGTGAGAAAGCGAATACAGCGAAACGTCGGGCAATAAATGTGTCTTAAATTGATAACGATTTAACGATTAACGATTCACAATAAATGACAATTTAAAGTAAAGATTATCTAACGAAAGGTCTTTGCTGCATTTATGTCATAATTTCAAATGTTTGAACGTTTACAACCACAAAAAGACTGGAAACGCCCGAATAATGTGAGCCGACACACGCCGAATCGCGATTCCGGCCAAACATGGTGTCGGAAGTATCAGGTCAAAGGTCATTTAGGTCAGGGTCATGAAATTTTCAGGGTAGGTGTAAAACTGATCAACGAGGATACTGAAAGTTTCATCGTGATCGACCGCTTTTTGCGCGAGTTTTTGCGAAAAACCCAAGGAGGGATCCGTTCGACCCCCTATTAGCGCGAATATTAAGTCATATACATAGAGTGATCCATTGGGAATTGTAGTTGACTCTTTGCAAGTTTAATGATTCTTTCTTTCTTTGACTCTTTCTCATTTTCCTTTACCGAGCAGTGGCTGTGAGCACAACTTCACCTACCATGTTCTACTTCACAAAAGCTCTGTCCGAGCTCTTTTGGACGCCTCTTTTGCCGACTCCGATGGGAATTTCAAGGAATCGACTCAAATACTGGATTTTTGGAGAGTAAGTACCAGACATAGGAGCTCTTAGTCTCACCGTTTATTTTTGGACACTTCCTACTGATATGTATGACTGTCTGTATGACATAAGTCTGAATGACACGGGACACCTCAGAAAACGTGTACATAGACAAATCACGAAATCCTTCAGCGCGCCTCCATTTCAGACAAAACATCAAACAGAAACATTGGCAATTATAATAACTACATTTAGCTCGTTACGAGGACATTGTTACAACTGGCGAGTGGCGACACAGAGTGTGTGAGCAGAATGCTCCGAAGATGTTGTTTCATAATCTGACTACCTCTGCCTATTTCATGAACAATCGATAACCGATCCAAAAAGACGATACAATACATACATCAAATATGTGACGCAGATGTGGGCGCGGCGGCTACCTCCGTGGGCTACTGGGCTGCTCCTTCGCTGCGGAGACGCCCCACTGGTCGGTCGGCGTGAGCAGCTCTCTCAGCGGTGCGGCCGGCCCTGTCTGATGCCGGCCTCGGCCAGCATTGTGGAGAGGACGAGCGCGGCGGGCGCGAGCATGATGCCCAGTCCCACGGCGTCCGCCCAGACGGGGAAGCGGCGGCCGCCGTACGAGGCCGGCTGGTGCAGGTACACGGTGGTGGCCAGGCCCAGCAGACAGACGGCCGGCACGGCGAGCCGCCACGAGAGCCGCCAGTAGGCGGCCAGCGCCGGCGGCAGGCCCATCTCCATGTCGCTGCGCATGTTGCCGATGAGCCGCTCGGCGCCATACACCCAGCCCACGGCCACCGCCTGCAGCAGCACCACGAAGAACAGCGAGAACGTGAAGGCGTAGTGGTCGACCAGTGCAAAGATCAGCATGCCGCCGTCCATGCATACACTCAGGTTGGAGAGGAAGAAGAGCACACACAAACCGACAGCAAGATATCTTTTCTGCTTCCTCAGCGATGGCCATTGGTCAACAGCGGCAATCACAAGCGCCTCCACGGCAATGAATTGCGTGTCGATGCCGAGCGAGACCATCATGACGAAGAAGAGCGCGCTGAAGACGGGCGGCAGCGGCGTGTGCACCATCATCTCCGGGTAGGTCATAGGTGACGAAAGCCATGCCCACGTCCGAGGTGACCACGCGGCCGACGTCGCGACACAGCGTGTGTGCCAGCGAGCCGAGCATGGAGAACACGATGAGCGCGGCGATCACTGAGGTGGCCGTGTCGACCAGCGACACCAGGATGGCGTCGCGCATGCAGTTGTTGTTGAGCCGGTTGAAGCTGCCCATCGCGAACAGGCCGCACTGGCCGCAGCCCAGAGAGTAGAGGACCTGGGCGGCGGCAGCACTCCACAGGGTGGGGTCCTTCAGCTGGGAAATATCGGGCTTCATATTGAGCGCGATGCCTTCTGCAGCTCCGTCAAGGCCCGTCAGAATCACCACCAGAAGGATAAACATTATTGTATAAGGCAATAGTACCGTAAAATGCAGTATAGCTCCGAATGTCTTGATACCCCTGAATATGCACGCGCCCACTAAGAACCAAGTACACAAGAGATATGCTGTTATGTCCCATCGGATTGTTCCAACACCATACAGATCGTAATTGTTCATTCCCAACACATGATTGTTGAAATACTCCTCACTGGCAAGTGCACGATTATTCCCTAGGCGATACACCAAAGTGTCATTGCCGCTTAGGAACAGACACTCGCTGTTTGGCTCCGCGTGCCCCTCGAGAAGCTGGTACGCCGGGTAGCAGGTATTGTTCCAGAACACGTCTGCCCCCGAGCTGGCGCTGCGACACCGTTCGTCTCCTGCCACAGTGAAACACCGCGGCGAGTTGTAGATGTGGCCGCAACGCGACCACTCCAGCTCGCCTCTGAACGACGCCACCAGGAACGACAACACCCAGGTGATGGTGACGTTGTAGTTGAAGCACATGAGCGTGCCGATGATGATGATGCCGTAGCCGACGCCGGAGAACAGGGGCGCCAGCTGGCGAAACAGCACGTTGGGCGACTGGCGGGCAAACGGGCCCAGTGTCACCTCCATCGTGTACATGGGGATGCCGAGAACGAGCAGCATCACCACGTAGGCGACCACGAAGGTGCCGCCGCCGAACTTGTAGCACAGGTAGGGGAAGCGCCAGAGGTTGCCCGTGCCGACCGAGTAGCCGATCAGACTGAGCAGGAAGTCGCACTGCGAGCGCCATCGGTCTCGCGGCGGCTGCTCAGCCATGACGCTCGACAGTCGCAGAGCTGAGTGCCTGTGACCGGGCTAGCGTCCTGTGGCCGATCCTGTCGTGAGGTGCCTGAGACGGGTTACCGGCCTGTGCTGAATTGAAGTCTCCAGCGAACGAGGGCCAATGAAGGCTTGCAAAATGCAAACCGACACCATGCGCCGGAGAGCCTCGTCAATACGAGCGACGCCGTGCTTATCACATTGTCCAGATCTTTGAGCACAACCCTGCCTAATTCTTTTTTGTCGCAGATTTTATGTCGAGTGCTGCTCACTAAACGTTCACCGAGGCTTCATCTAAATTGGACAGGATGATGAGTCACTTCACGTAACGCGTTCGACTGCACTTCAGTCCTGGTTGGATCACGTTTAATATTCATCACCTTAATCACTGCTAAAGTTGAGCACAGTTTGTGTTGCCACACGTTGGGAACACCACACCGGCACCGCCAGCACGTGCCTACTCTCGTCACCAAGTCGCAGTGCGACTGAACACTGCGCAGGATGCAGATTACCTTGCCCATCGCGGGGCGCAGTCGCCCTCGGAAGTACAGTGTCTCACAAACCCGGTACAGAAGGTCGGCAGAGCGCTCCCGCGGCCGCACGGCCAGGTTTGGAGAGCGCTGAATTGCCGCGGGCTGATGGTGTTGTTGCACGCCGGCTGATATATTGCTGGGTGCACTGTCAAGGCCGGCAGGGCCCTTTAGGTTGCAACTTGCAGCGATTCATGGTCAAAGTGTCAGGTGACCGACGGTGGTCGCACACAGGTGAAGCGGAGCCATGGTGAGGTAGGGACTAGGGAAGCTCCCGTTCACGGTCTGGGGCTGCAGCTGAGCTATTGCGGCGGGGAAGTAGCCACGAACGGATCTGACACGGATTCGGTCTCAGAACACGGATCTGTTCGGCCGCTACTTGATTGAACTGATGACTGTTTTTCATAGTATCACTTTGGGTTTGAATCGTGTCTCAGGTGAGGTGGCAGTTAGCCCCGAATGAATCGCGTAATTCACCAAACTACCGAATAAATTCACCGTATTTACGATCGGCCTAAGCTCGGAACCGGTAACGGTACAGAAGAGATGATCCGTAGTCCGTATGAACAAGTGCCGACTTCCGGAAGGAAAAGAAGTGGGAGGCATGTTGTCTGATGTTTCTCCCAATAACTTAATAATTATTCCGAGTAACGACAAGCGGCACGTACAAAGTACATTTTAAAGCTTTCAAATATCACACACCGCGCTCTATCGCTCACACAAAAACCATAAATCAAGCCTTTCTACGTTTAATCAATGCCAACTTGGAAGCTTATCGGTAACATTAAGTCATTGATATAAATTCAAAACTTTACCATCGCAGCGAAAATACTCCTTGCCATGATAACAATAAGGTAGGCATATGTATGTATTTAGCATTTTTGTTAAAAAGTGTGCAGAATGATGATAATAATCTGCAGAGTGGGCATAAGGTATATAGGCGTGCGGAGCGAAGTGACTATTTCATTCAAGTTGATTAGCAAATAGCACTTCAGTTGCGTCTGAACCGACAAGAGATGACAAATGCCTATATGTAGGCATGCCATAAAAATGCCCTTTATACCTACGCATCGGCAGATATGCGCATTGTGCAATATAGGGTGCAAGTGCATGATGTATCGCATGTATAGGTATTATTTGATTGGGCAGTGGGCTCGTCCATCATGTACTTTGTACTGGGCTGATACCAGATATCTGTCGAAGATTCACTCAGTAATTTCAATTTAACAACTTTTTCCAATGCCACACCGTTTATTTATTTATTTATTTATTTATTTATTTATTATTTATTTATTTATTTATTTATGCGGGTCTTTGAGGTACCTAACCAAGACATGACTGGCTTTTAAACCAGTGTCATATACAATGTGCAACCGAGGTATAAGATAGGTAAAAAACATATTATAGTACACAAACATTGAAAAGGTTAAAACACGTAAAAAAAACATTGACACGCTAGCATGAAGACTGTCTGACATGAAAACAGACTGACTGCTAGCACCCAGACTGTCCTAGTCCTAAGAGCTCGATGAGAACGGGATCTCCAGGTCAAGTGACCTTTTCCCTCCCGATGACTGTGAAGGTAAGGTATGAAAAAAACTAGCAAAAAAAGTTGCGTGTAAATTGAGTGGAGCCAATTACGCACTGCTCTTCGGTCCGTTTGACCGGTGTTGGCCCCCGGCCGCCTCATGCTGTAGTTTGTGGGCCCCTGGTGGATGGCCTCTACTGGGAGACGTGGTATGACCTGGAGCAGACCAAGCTGGACGACAGCGAGGGTGGCATCGACATCCTCTACGAGAACCGGCTGCTCGGAGTACCCAGAATGCGGCAGGTTGGTGGAGTGGTTGGTGCTCTGTGGGCTATGAGGACTGTTCGGGACGATACATCGCCCCGATGATTTCAGGTTTCCCTCTTGCGAGCTGTGCTGTGAACAGAGGAAATGTAGTTACATAAAGTATACTATTAGTATAGGTATTCCTTAGTTTGGGTGGTTTGCTCAGAGCCCTGGCACGGACCCCTCTCCCAGTCCGCTGACGGTGCCACCGCGGCCGCTCGCAGCTGCAGGTACGCAGCGACTCATGTCGCGTGGCCGACGACATGCGCGCCATCATCAAGGAGTGCTACGCCGAGTACAGCTGGCTGACCGAGGTCAACTACAACGACTCTATCGGCACCGGCAACGGCACCGGGTGAGGAGCTGGGATCACCCCCCTCCCCACCCCACCCGCCGCCAGCGGGGGATGGAGGGCCGCGATGGCGACTGAACTCGGTAGCGCAGCTGTGTATGTGACTGCCCAATGCCCATATAGCTGTATGAGGCTGTCTGCATAGCTACATATAGGTTTTGATCTCCTTATAATTGTGTCAATATGCGTAGATCTTGCGCAGATTTTGTACCGTAATAGTACAGAATATACCTACAGCTTAGGACAAATATTCCGTGGCATCGGCGTATAGTCGACTACAGAATGATGTTCCACTCCTCAGAAGCTATCAGTGGCCGGAGCGCTAAGTTGTGCCGTTTATCACGCATTAAGCGTGTCGATTGTGAGCATTGGAACAAAGCTATGATTTGTGAACTCAGCCGTGTGATGCGGCACAGCCTACCACTCCAGGCAAGTAATTGCCTGTGAAAAGTGGAACATCATTCTGTAGTCGACTATATATACATGCGTACAGCAGTTCATCGTCCATCAAACTGTATAGCTATCAGCAGCCTTTGCCTGTTCGTTCATGCCAGCCCTGTAACAAACGCAAGGGTGCCGTTTAAAACACAAGAACCAAGACTGAGTCATGAACGACGACGTCTCGGCTGCGTTTTACCTTTCACGTTCTTCTCCCCCTCAGCTGGCGCTACTGTCCGGAGGACGAGTTGGAGGGTCACCCGTTCTGGGGTGAGATCAGCACCTATTCGGGAGGCGGCGCGTACGTGGTGAGTCACCGACTCATCGGTATTCCCCGCCGATCTCGTCTGTCTGTCTGCCCTTGCCGGCCACGGTATTGCATCATCGCACCACTTAAAACACCGCTGTTTTGAAAGTCAAACTGCAAGTTGACTTTTCATACGCTACATGTGAAGAGTACGCTGCTGATACAACAAACGCAGATGAACGCTTAACGTGTGTGTGACTGGCGCGCAGGATTTGTCACACAAACGAAACGAGACTGTGGATATGCTGGCCCGCCTCCGACGCGACCTATGGATCGGCCGAGGGACCCGTGCCATCTTCATCGACTTCACAGTCTACAACGCAAACATCAACCTCTTCTGCATCATCAAGTCAGTACGAGGGGCATTTTCGCTGGCTGTAAAGAATCGTCGTATGAACCAACCGTCACGGTGTACAGTCGTATACCTACCATGTGCACACACTTAATCGGATGTGCTAGTTGTTTCATGTTTGTTTGAAGGATTATTTCTTACATAAGCATGTCGTATAAAATTCTTAGCAGCCCTTTTTAAACAATTTCATTCATTCATTCATGCATTCATTCATTCATTCATTCATTCACATCATTCATTCTCATTCATTCATTCATTCATTCATTCATTCATTCATCATTCATTCATTCATTCATTCATCATTCATTCATTCATTCATTCGTTCGTTCGTTCATTCATCGAACTTCGGTCTACTTCACTCATGTGGTCACACATTTATTTATTCATTCATTCATTCATTCATTCATTCATTGGTGCAGTCCGTCTCCATTGAAATGTCCTTTGCCCGTCTGCTGCGCAGACTGGTGTTCGAGCTGCCCGCCACGGGCGGCATGATTCCGTCGTCGTCCTTCCGCACGGTCAGGCTCCGCTACGTTAACCCGTACGACTACTTCGTGATGGCGTGCGAGTGGGTCTTCATCCTGTTCACCGTATACTACATCATAGAGGAGGTCTGTAAAACTGTCTGCAGCGACCGGCAGCGACCAGGGGTCAGCGGGGAACAGACGGCGTGAAATGTGCGGTTGTGATTGTTTACATAAACGTATTATGTATATGTATGTAAGTCCAATGCTTACTTTGGTTCAGCAATCAACTCCGGTAATTTCGGCGACCATGGCTCCGGTAATTTTCTATTCGCCCTTTGCAAGAGTGGTCGCTGTGATAGCCGTGATGTTCAATTGGTTTGTAAGCTGAAACTTCAATCGCTAATGCATGTAATTATAAATATTATAAATTGCATAACACCGAAGTGTGTTGGTCAGCGCTCTCTGACGTGTTTCAGATGTTGGAGTTCCATGGACAAAAGACGAAATATTTCAAGCATTTCTGGAACCACCTCGACATGCTAATGATTTTGATTTCCATTCTTTGTATCGGCTTCTCTATCCATTGCACGAAGGCCGTCAGCGATAAGATCGAGCTTCTACTGAAAGGTGACACTTTATGCCCATTATTCTTGCTTATCCGACTAATGGCAATGCATTGAAATAATTGTATATAATATGCCTCCAGCCAACCTCTAAATCGCGATTCTCCCCATACTTCTTCAAACACGACCGTTCTGTTGCAGATGATTTGCAGTATCCCAACTTTGAGCAGCGGGCTTCTTCCAAACGCAGTTCACTAGCGCCGCGGCACTCTGCGTGTTCTTTGCCTGGGTGAAGCTGTTCAAATACATTAGCTTCAACAAGACCATGAACCAGCTGAGCAGCACTCTGTCCAGGGTCGGTGACTGGCCCGGGCGGCAGGGTCGAGAGATCGATTGATCGTTTTATGCTTTGTGCTCTAAATGTAGAATTGCTGTCACGCTAATTTTATCGATTCGTATTTCGATACTATATTCCTGTCCCATGCTCCCCATTTAATTAAATCGATTGTTTACTTCAAATGATGACCTAGCATCTACAGTAGGCACGAGTATGAGATTTACGTCTTTTCCAGTGCACCGAGATATGTGATTCACTTCGTTCACAGAGCGTATGAGATGAGATGTAATGGGGCTTAGGAAGTTGTGTACAATACGACCATATATCATCAGCGATCTGCGTCGTTATAATGTTCACAAAATAGCATTACATTGTTATGTTTACAGTGCGCGCGAGACATCATGGGATTGCCATCATGTTCTTCATCGTCTTCTTCGCCTTCGCCCAGCTCGGATATCTTCTCTTCGGTACCCAGGTATGTGAGTTCCAGCGCGTTCAAGAATGCGCTGTTTAACGTGCTAAAACATCTGGCTTTACTTCGCATTGTATAATTATGATAACGAATGATTACATGACTATTTACCTAGTTCGCTCATGCTCTCCAATTTATTGTCAGATCATCAGGTACGTACCTAGCTCATCGTATTTGATTGAACTTTGATCGACCCTGCTTCCGTCGATACAGGTGCGCGACTTCAGCACATTCACCCGAGCCACGTTCACTCTGCTGCGAACCTCCTCGGAGACTTCGACTTTCACGAGATAGAAGCGGCCAACCGGATCTTGGGACCAATCTTCTTCCTC